TTTATCAAAATGCACTCCAACTACCTAAAGTATCTTAGTTTTATTAATTGATAATGTTTGGAAACTAAACTTCAAACTTAAAATCTAAATCAATCTTATAAACTATTACCTTATAAATAGAGACCATAGTAAAGATCAAATATGAAAAATTGTGTTCAATTTCTAATCGTATATCTTGTGGAATCTTATACCAGCCATGTTGGCTTTTATATTTGACAATGATCACTTAAGCCATTTAGTTGGTGTGATTTGGGGTATCAAATTTTGACAAGAGCTTATTTGGTAGATTTGGTTTAGATGATCTAAATAAGAATCTAGGAAATTTCAATAAGGTATGCTATGCCTATCACCAACCCTATATTTTGTATGAAACAATCAAGCTTTGGCTTTCCACATTCTCTCTTATGGGGGAGGCCACTATATGGTTGGATGATCTACTAGCCGATTTATCACTATATTGGTTGAATTAGCAAAAGCATTCTTAGAGATTCTTCCTCTGACTTAGATGTTACAACTCTTGGATGAGATCATGAAGATTCTCCAATTGTCGGACAAAGTTTTTTATGTGGCTTGGATACGATTCAAAAAGGAGACCAAACAATTTTCAAACAATGGATTGACAGGTAAAGTATTTCTCTAAACTTTCTATAAGTCACTCGACTCTGTCAATAAGTTGATGGCTAATAATGTGGCCGAAGGATTTATCATGGAGAATTCTTTTGTCATGGCGGGTGATTTTCTTGATCTTAACTAAGACATTCAATTTGTGGAATACAAGGGCAACAGAAGTAACCATGGGAAACTCCTTGAGAACATTATTGTCTAGAGAATATTTAAAACAAAAAAAAAAGAATTATATGAGACAATGACTCAAATAACGATACTCACCAAGAAGATAAGTGTGGTTGCGAATGTAGTACTAAGACTGAAAGCCTGCTAGGCAGTCTATACAGAAGGGAAGTCACCAAACGTGGGAAAGAGTACCTTTTTCTTACTCGAAGGAACCACTACCCAAAGCCAACTAATTGTGCATAAGGAACTGTGTAACACACCATTTTTTTTGGCAAAGAACTGAACCATTCTTCATAGGTATATAGGTTCATACCTGGTGATTCCTAATTGTTCATGGGGGCTAAGGCCCAATCATAAGTATGGAAAGTGTATTGGATGTGAATCATCATGTGAAGAGGATTTTTCATTGCACAACCATGTAGGAACGTCAGTGTTACTGCTATGGCCGCGCGACTAGGCTCCAGTTGTGCAACAATGCACGTTTGCTCCAAAATTCCTTCAGTTTTTTCTTCCTTTCATATTTTAGGGAGGGGTGTTATCGTCTATTCTTCATTTCATAACCCTGACCCATGACTATTAACTTCCTTCAAAAGCAAAATTCAATTAGATTCCATAAGTTACGATATACTCTTCTCTTTTTCTCCTATACTTCAAAGAATAAGATTTACAAAAATGCTAGAGATTTCAATTATGATTCTTCCTCAAACTTCAAATTAAGGTGCGTAGGAATTCATTAAGGAATTTTTTTCATCCTCATGTCCAAAACTCCTCAATTTATTCATGAATTTAATTCTATAGTTAGGATATATGAACCCACTTTCAAATTTATCCTTTATATGATTTAATTGCATGATTTCTTGAATTACTTACTCATGATTATGGATTATTGACTATTGTATTTCATTTTTATGCTTAGTTATATTTTTCAGTGTCATCCTTATTAGTAGGGGTGTGCATCGGTCAGTTCGATTCAATTTTATGTATTATCATTTCGATTTATTGGTTTTTAAATACACTAAACTAATAACCAAACCAATAAGATATTTTTTATCAGTTTTCGATTTATCAATTTTGGTCCTTAACAGTTCGGTTTTCGATTTAACCAATAAAAAAATACTTATAAAATAAATATATGTCTTCTCTAATAAATTCAACGCAACAAGAAAATAATGTAACTTTACAAATGCTCATAAAATAGAAACAATAATAACAAACATGAAAAGAACTATATATGTGTAACACAACGAGAAATTAAGAGGAATATGGTTCTTACTTTAGGTTTTGATGGTTTGTATAATGTAAAGTTGTGAACTCAAAGTCACAATGAAATATGAATTAAATGCTAAATGACGAAGACATAACTAGTAAGATATTGAGATTAATATTTAATATTTATGTATAGGTAAAAGTAGTAAATTACTCTAGTTTTAATGGGTTATCGGTTTACCCAATAAAATTATATTAAAAAGCAATACCGAACCAATAACTCAATAATTTTTTTATTAAACCATTAAAAACCCGTTAACCTAACTAAATCAATAACACTTTTTTGATTTGGTTATTGCACACCCCTATTTATTAGTTCTTGACATGATTTTGTTTATGATTCTTGAAGCTGATATTTTAAAGTATGAGTTTAGAGTCTTTATGTTATTATAAAAACTATTTTGAGAATTTACAAGTTATGCATGTTCTAGAAAATATTTTCATGATGTGAAATATATGTTTTAGAAAGAGATTTCAGCATATGATTTTAGAAAGGAAGGTTTGATATGTTTTAGAAAGAGATTTCAGCATATGATTTTAGAAAGGAAGGTTTGAGCTTTGTCTCACAAATTAGAGCACAGTCTCACAACAAAATATGATTTAGAAAAACATATTTGAGCAAGACTCAATATAAGCTTATATAGATATGTTATGAGTTATATAGATAGCATATTTTTGGAGTAATATTTTAGCACTGAGTGAATGAGGGTTATAGTTAGCCCAAGTTCCAGAACTATGTGCCATTGTAGGATTATGTTTCACCGCTTTTCAGTTGACCATTTGGCCTTGAGAGGCTCAGATTAGTGGATCTACATTAGACGAACATATTCTATACCCTGGCAAGATATAGAGCAACCCTCCCCAACTGAGATTGTAAGTTGGTGCATCATGAGCTTACATGAAAAGAACTATATATGTGTAACACAACGATATATGTCGGTAATGCAGTATCGTACCCCTACCCATTGACCATCATCTTGAAGAGTACCTATGCCTTCCAGCCCTGAATAAAATTAACAATACATTCTATGAGGCATATCGTAAGAACTCCCAAACCTACTCTCACAACGAATAGAGTCTAGCCATAACGTCTCAATTCGTTATTGGGTAAGTATCATGCCTCGACTATCAATTGGTTGAGTTTGACCTCCACTAATTGTTGTTGTTGATTCTAAATTTAATAGTGAAAATATTAGACTACAAATTTAGAAAAAATAAAGTAATTATTACTTTAGCTTACGTAGGTCTTCTCAACCCAAATGTCTAGATCTTCGGAGGTTCTCTTCTTTCTCGTGTGAGTGTGCATGAATGCCTCATCTTGAGTTACTGACCTCCCAAGTTCTTTTTCTACAAATGAAATTAACTTAGTTATTGATCAAGAATAGTTAATTGTTAATATTCTACAATATCACTTAAGAAAATATACTAGTTTCCTTCTCAATCCATTGGCTTTGAACCCCACTCATATGTTGAGAGACACCCCAATAAAATGCTTTGAATGATTTCATACATTTCTTATGGCAAGTCAATCCTCCGCACTAGGCTTAGCGAAGTTCTAAACCTTGAAAAAGATTCGAAGTGTGATTTCACATACATTTTTCTAAATATCTTACTATATTTGGTAAATGAAAAATCCAGCTACATTTTGTAAATACAAGTCTTATTTAAGCAAACTTCATCACCCTAATTATCCTTTATATTGATACTTAAGAAAATTACCAAATATAGTTATACTTTGAGTTCTTATAGCAAATTCTAAAAATAAATCCTAAAACCCCTTTCATTCTTAATATACCATGGCCGCAACCCACTTCCATTCCCTAGTTCTTTTTCCTCCTCTTCCTTTGCTCTTCTTTTTCACAATTACTGTGTTTCCACTAAACGAGTCACATTCCCCCTCTCTTTTAATATTCTATGAATTCAAATTTGAGTAAAAGGTTGAAATTTTTGTTCTAATTTGAGGTCACTTTGATTTTTCAGTTTCGATTTGAGTTTCAACTATATATTGCATAGTTGAGCTTGCTTTTTGCTATTTGAAAACAAATTTGTATAGTTTGGAGGTTCTATATACTCAACAAGCTTTGGATTTTATTTAGTTATATCAGTGTATCTAACAAAATTGAGGGAAAAAAACAAATAAAATTGAGAAAGTGTATCTAGCAAATTTGAGTGCGTTGTTAACCCCTCCAAATGAATGTTTGATGTGAGATAGAGCAGCTTACCCTAAAATCAATGCATTTAGCAAAATTAAGATACTGTTGATACAATTAGGTTGAACGAATAGATATAGTGTATTCAAGTAGATTGTGCGAAAAAATACAAAAAAATCATTGTGTCAACCGATACAACATGACTTTCAGAAAACTGTGAGCACTAATATAACATGAATTTCAGAAAAATGTATCACTAATATAACAAATTTTAAAATTGATGCTATGTTTGCTAATTTGTCAAACGATCATTGTGTGAGTTTCTTGATTTTCCTTTGCTACAAATTTCAAGTTTCATCAACACTACATTCCCCATTAACTTGTTTCATCAGTAAATAATTAATACTCCTTCCATTTCATATTAATTGAATTTTTGAGGCATTTTCCATTTTCCAAATTAACTTAATTGTTCAATTTTCAAGACTACTTTTAAAATATTCTTCCAATTTTACCCTTCATTTGGATTTTCAATATGATGACTTCAATAAATTTGACAATAATTAATAAGGGTAATAATGAAAAATTATATTTAATTTATGTCTTAATCTACTTTTTTAAAGGATACATCTCAAAAATTTAATTGATATGAAATAGAGGAAGTAGTAAATATTTAAGAACATAAAAGTCGGTTAATAATTTAGGATATTTTGGTTCTTCAATATTTAGCACGGAACATTCATGCTTCGCCTATAGTATAGTTTGTTCTATAGATAGACAAATATATTATTTGGGGCTTAATCCTTGAGTCGCCTGAAGAAACAGAGTTGATAGGAAAAGATGCTTCAGATCCGTCTTAGCAAGCCAGCAAATGAGAGTGGTGGAGTTGCTAAGTGGTTGCCTCCTGAAACTGTTACAGTTGCTTGCCCTGATCATCTTGTTTTATCTGATCTTCCTGTAGCCAAGAGCGTTGGTACAGTAAATCCTGCATCTATGCTCAAAACTCTTGGCCGGAGGTCCCGTCGACAGCTTGCTGAACGAGTACATTTTTGTGTCTGCTGTGACTTTCCAATTGCTGTTTATGGACGTCTGGTGAGTGTACAATACAATCTTCAACCCTTAAATTTTTTCCCTAATTTTTCTAATTCTTGTTTATGGACGTTTGGTCACTAGTTAATACAAATTTCAACCCTTAAATTTTGCCCTAATTTTTGTGTCCGCCTCTGATTTTCTAATTATTAGTATTTGTGAATATCTGGTGTGTATAGAAAGTTCAAATGTTTACTTTTGCCCTAAGTTGCTCACTCTCCAAAAATGCAAGGATCCTACACATGTCTGATGACATTTTTGAAGAGTCGAGCAACCTAGCTTTTGCCTATGTTTATAGACGCAACATATTTTTCAATCAATGATATTCATATTCCTACTATTAATAATGAGAGATCAGGACTAGGCTACCTGGTGGCTGCTGCTACTTAGTACTCCTTTCTTTTAAAGATGAAGTAAGAAGAATTCTTTAATGGCGTCTGGTGGATGCAGAAATGAGAAGTATATATATATCTAGGAAATTAACACAGAGAGATTTAGACTAAAAGGATAGGGAGCTGACAAAATCTAAGAGGTACTCTTGGGAGCCTACCGGTGTAAAGTTATGCCAACGGAATAAGTTTAAAATACACCTAGATTTTACAGAGTGCATGCGAATTAATACACCATCAATTTCTTTTTAAACATATGCACCAAAATATACTGGTTGATATCATCCTCTATATCTTTCTGATGTATTTTTTTATCAACTTTCCAAAATCTCCGGCTCTCATAGGCATCCTATTGTATGTCATAACCCAAGAACTTCCAAAATTAGAGGAAAATATTCCAAATGTCTGAAACTACTGGGCAGTGTAGGAAGAGGTGTTTAGTTTCTAGACATTGATGGTACATGTAGGCTATATCATCTGTTCACTATCTGACTGTTCCTCCTGCTAACGTTATCCTGTGGCAGGCTTCATAGATTGGTGCCCAAGGAAAAAATTTGAGTTTGGGGTAATTTTATAATTATCCCTTGTGAACTTTATAAAAATAAAACTAAAAAATTATCCTGTATGAGCTTCCGAAGCCATTGCTCAACATTCCCAATCCGAGTCAGTGAAGATTTTAGCCTGCCTTCACTACGAATAACCCCTTTTGTGTTGCCCGAACTTATTCTACCATTGTGTGGTTAGATAAAGTGAAAGACTGCAGTATTTGTAACAAAATCAACAGTTCCTTAAGTTCCTTCTAAATTGTAGATCACATACGATATTATGTCTGTTATGTGCAGTGGAGGAATCAACATTGAGGCTATTTGAAATAAATTTGATCTAGAGAGCCATGGGTCTTTCTAAATTTTGATATGATTTTCCTGAAACCCATCTTGTATGTGATATTCTAAGAGAAATCATCCCATAAATTCCTGATGTGAGAAGAATCCCACGTCTCCCATTCACAATCACCGAGTATTTGACTGTGGTAATGCAAAATCTAATTCATATAACCCATCTTTCTCCAAAGCCCATTGTATTTTGCACACTCAACAAATAGGATCAATTAACTTTATCAAAATCCCTTTCACACGTCAAGTTTGCATAGAAGTTCAAGAGTGTGTCTTTTGTTTCTAGTCAAGCACTTCATTTGCAATCAGTGTTGCATCAATGATCTTTCTGACTTGAATGAAAGCACTTTGATGTCCTGAGACTAGTTTGTCAATCACCTTTTTTCAGTATCTCTGCTAGGTGTTTTGCAGCTATCTTATACACACTACCAAATTGTAATCAGTGTTGCATCGAAATGTGTGTTGTTATAGAGGAAACACGCTTGGGAATTCTTTTTTACTTATATCAGTGTATCCAACTAAATTGAGAAAGTGTATCCAGCAAAATTGAGTGCTTTGTTTAAAACCTCCAAACGAATGTTGTATGTGAGACAGCGGACTTGCCCTAAAATAATGTATTCAACAAAATTAATATATTGTTGATAAGAATAGAAGTTGGATTTGGAGGCTACCAATATCACTGGAAGAGTGTGGTTTGCGAACTATTGCATAGGAGCGGGGGTTTTACCCTGTGCGCACCCAAAGGGTAGCGGCTGCGGGTTTCCCTTGTCATAAAAAAAAAATAAAAAAAAATATCACTGGAAGAGTATTTGGAGAGGACTGATCCCCACCAAAGTGAAATGCTTCACTTGGTTAGTAATCAAAAGAGCCTGCTTAACTCAAGAAGTCCTACAGAAGAAAGGAATGCAACTAGTCCCTAGATGTTTCCTATGCAATTTGACAGGGCAAACTAATAAACACCTATTCCTACACTACAAATTCACTACACAGATCTGGGAGCTTTTCCTCTACATCACAGGCTTCAGCTGGACAATGCTAGAACACACTTCTGATCTTTCTAGTTGCTGGATCAGAAGGGGGGTTAGCAAGATTCAAAAGAAGTGGTGGAAGCTAATACCATCATGAATATGGTGGTCAGCGTGGAAGGAAAGAATTGGAGATGTTTTGAAGGTAGATCTAATTCCATTCGCAAAGTAAAATGGAATTGTTTAGTATCCTACTTTTTTGGTGTAAATAGCTCTGTATAGAAGTTGTAGATCAAATTATTCATAGGGAGCTTGTAATTTTGGTTAGGGCTGTAGATTTTTGAAGGTGGACAACATGCCCTTTAATGCTGTAGGATACAACTTTTCCAATTTTAAAAAAAGTAAAAAAGAAGAAGATATTGTTGATACAATTAAGTTGAGCGAATAGATACAGTGAATCCAACTAGATTGAGCGAACAAATACAAAAAAATTGTCGTGTCACTCATACAACACGAGTTTAAGAAAGTTGTATCAGTGATACAACGCGAAAATGCATCAGTGATACAACATGAATTTCAGAAAGATGTATCAGTGATGCAACAAACTTCTAAACTGATGCTACTTTTGATAATTAGTCAAACAATCATTATGTTTGGTAATTAGGCACTTAAGTACCAATATTTATGAAAATTCCTCTATGTTGTAGTATATATAAAGGCCTAATCCGTTTAACATGAATCCTAAAATCGAGCATATCAAAATCAAGACAGTGAAACATGAAGACCCATGTCCATAAATAACTGCGAAGGGGTTTATTGATTTTTCTTTGCTGCAATTTTCAAGTTTTAGCACAGAAGAACAAAGGGACGAACACCTCTCTTCTCCGGTAATCCCCTAAAAACATCTCAACCATTTAACACAGTTTATGCGTGGTGTAAACAAAAAGGAATTACAACTACATCCACCTCTAACTTGTTTAATTAATAAATATATAAGGACTTAAAAGTTGATTATATTTTAGGTATATTTTTGTCATTCAACATTTAACATGGAACATACATGCTTTTATAATATAGATAAATAGATAGATAGATATAGATTTGCTTTCTATTTTCATTTGGTTGTTTTTGGGTCAGCCAACTTTGGCCGATTGGACAAGTTATTTCTCATTTCATCAATTAATAAAATAAACCTGAGCGGCCCAGAAGTTTTTTTTTTTTTAAAAAAAATACAACAATGACGAAAACATTAAAAACATTTGAGTGTATTATTCAATTACCAAATGTGACAAAAAAAATGCTTAGTTAAAGAATCTAAGTTGAAATTAGAAAGTAAAATCGCGAGAAACATGAAAAAAAGATTATATTAATTTTATTACTAATTACTACTCCCTCCGTCCCATTTTATGTGAGGTAGTTTTACTCGACTCGGAGTTTAAGAAAGAAATGAAGACTTTTAAAACTTGTGTTCCAAAATGAATGACAGAAATTTGCGTGGCTGTAAATCATTTAATTAAGGGTAAAATAGACATTGTATAGTTAAATTGTTACTTAATATAGAAATGTGTCATTCTTTTTGGGACTGACTAAAAAGGAAAGTAAGTCACATAATTTGGGACGGAGGGAGTAATAATTTATATAAATAGATAGTAGTTCATATTATTTGGGGGCTTAACCCTAGAGCCGCCTGAAGTAGGGTAGAGAAACAGAGTTAATCGGTAAAGATGCTTCGGATCCTGCTTAACAAGCAAGCAAATGAGAGTGGTGGAGTTGTTCAGAGGTTGCCCCTTGAAACTGTTAAAGTTGCTTGTCCTGATCATTTTGTTTTAGCTGATCTTCCTGTAGCCAAGAGCCTTGGTTCAGTAAATCCTGCATCTCTGCTCAAAACTGTTGGCCGGAGGTCCCTGCGCCGGCCTGGTAAACGAGTACATATTTGTATCTGCTGCGACTTTCCAATTGCTGTTTATGGACATCTGGTCAGTATACAATACAATCTTCAACCCTTTAACTTTTGCCCTAATTTTTGTGTCTGTTGGACTTCCTAATTGCTATTTATGGACCTCTGGTGATTATAGAATGTTCAGTGTTTTAACCGTTTTTCCCTAAGTTGCTCGGACTCTCCAAAAATGTTGTCATAGCCGCATCGGATCCTCCAAAAATGCACTACTGTTGAAAGAGACTACACACACCCGATGACATTTTTGAAGGGTCCTACTCCATTGTTATAAAGGCAACATATTCTTTTATCAATGATATTCATAATCCTACTATTACTTTTCAATACTGATTGTTTCCACCAACTAATAAGAGTTCAGGACTAGGCTACCTTCTGGCTGCTGCTACTTAGTACTACTTTTTTTTTAATACATGAAGTAACAAGAATTCATTAATGGCGTCTGGTGGATGCAGAAATCAAAAGTACTAGGAAATTAAAACAGAGAGATTTAGACTAGAAGGATAGGGAGCTGACAAAATCTAAGAGGTACTCCTAGCTTTTACGGAATAAGTTTAAAATACACCTTCTGGCTGCTGCTACTTGGTACTACTTTCTTTTTTAATAGATGAAGTAACAAGAATTCATCAATGGTGTCTGGTGGATACAGAAATCAAAAGTACCAGGAAATTAAAACAGAGAGATTTAGACTAGAAGGATAGGGAGCTGACAAAATCTAAGAGGTACTCCTAGCTTTTATGGAATAAGTTTAAAATACACCTAGCTTTTACAGAGTGCATGGGAATTGAAACACTGTCAATTCCTTTTTGACCATATACACCAAAATATACTGGTTGGTATAATCTGCCAGATCTTTCTATGTTTTTGTTCATCAACTTTCCAAAATCTCCGGCTCTCATAGGCATACTATTGTATGTCGTAACTCAAGAAAATCCAAAATTAGAGGAAAATATTCCAAATGTCAGCCGCTACTTGGCAGAGTAGGAAGAGGTGTTTCATGTTTGTTGGTGACCAGACATTGATGGTACATGTAAAATCTATTTACTATCTGAATTTTTATCCGGCTAACACTATACTGTGGTAGGCTTCATAGATTGCTGCCCAAGGAAAAAATCTGAGTTTGGGGGTAGTTTTAAACATATTCCACATGAACCTTACAAAAAAAAAACAAAAAGAAAATCCTGTATTAGCTTCCAAAGCCATTGACCAACATTCCCAATCTGAGTTAGTGAAGATTTGTAGCCTACCTTCACTGTGAATACCCCCCTTTTGTGTTACCCCAACTTATACCATCATTTGTGTGGTTCGGGGAAGTGAAGGACTGCACTACTTGTAATAAAATTAACAGTTCCTTTAGTTCCTTCTAATCTGTAGATCCCATAGGGCATTATGTCTGTTCTGTGCAATGGAGGAATCAACATTTGAGGCAATTTGAAATAAATTTGGGAAATCCAGCATCAGAGGTGATTTAGGGAGAGCCATGGATCTTTCCAAATTTTGATATGATTTTCCTGAAACCCATCTTTTATGTGATTATTCCAAGAGAAATCATCCCATAAGTTCCTGATGGTACTTCCATAATCCAATACCATGAGAAGCCCTAGATAATTTACAGCAGTTATTTTGTGAGCCATGTTTTGCTCCAACTACTTGCTTCCGAAGAGCATCATCACTTTGTCTATATCTGCATAGCCACTTCATGAACATGCATTTATTGTGAGTTGTCAGATATTTGATCCCCAAGCGTCCTACCTGTTTTGGCATCTTGGTAGTTACCCATTTTATTAACTGAAATTTGTGCCCCTTACTGTTGCTTTCCCAAAAGAATGATCTCCTGATTATGCCAAATTATTGCACCACCATTTTTGGTATTTGAATGAGTGACATCAGATGAGTAGGAATACTAATATCATAGCGAGTGTTCCTCCCATTAATAAGTATCGCAGTTGTCAAGTAACCATTTTTTCCTCTAACTTCTCAATGAATCTATTTTATGTCTCTACATATTTGAATTTGGTCCCTAATGGGGCATCCCCAGGTAAGTTGTTGGTAAATGACCAGTGTTGCAACAGAGAATTCCTGCCAGTTCCACTAATTTTGGAACATCATCGACATTATATAATGTGCTTTTGAGCATATTAATCTGTAATCCAGTGAGAGCTTCAAATATAGACGGGGTAAGGTTGGGATATAAAATATGTGATCTCTCAGCACCACAAAAGATGAGAGCATCATCAGCATAAAGTAGGTATGACACCTCCACAGTTCCACCAGGGTTTATTCCAACTTCAAATCCTTTGATCTGGTGAAGTTCTCTGGATTATTTAGTAATATGCTGAGCCCCTCCTTAGCCAAAATGAAAAGAAAAGTTGAGAGCTTGCCTTATGACCTTTCTTGGTGAGAAGAATCCCACAGGTCTCCAGTTCACAATCACCGAGTATTTGACTGCGGTGCAAAATCTAATCCATATAACCCATCTTTCTCCAAAGCCCATTTTATTTCGCACAGTCAACAAATAGGATCAATTAGCTTTATCAAAAGCCCTTTTGCACGTCAAGTTTGCATAGAAATCCAAGAGTTTTTGTCCTTTGTTTCTAGTGAAGCACTTCATTTGCAATCAGTGTTTGCATCAATGATCTGTCTGACTTAAATGAAAGCACTTTGGTGTCCTGGGACTAGTTTATCAATCACCTTTTCAGTATCTCTGCTAGGGGTTTTGCAACTATCTTATATACACTATCAATCACACTAATAGGTTTGATGGGACTGAGTTCAATTGTACCTTCCCTTTAGGAATAAGTGTAATGAAGGCTATGTTGCTCGGGTTCAACTGCAGGTGTTTGACACGGGTACGGATCTAGAGATCTGATTCTTCATGATCATAATTTTTAGATTCACGATACAAATCCAGATATGGTTACGGATGTGGCGATTCGGCTAAAAATAATTCAAATATCTGAAAATATAGGTATAAAAATGTAAATTAAGTGTTCTCAATTCTTTCTATTTATCTTTTCAAATAATCTCTATTTGGCTCCTTTAAGTAATATTTTTTCTATCTATTATAGAGAATTGATTCGTTCCCTAATCATGTGATTACCGTTAGAAAAAATACATAATTATGTATCATAGGTTATATAGAAGTTTCTTGAGTACTTTATAATGGTCTTGGGCCACTCCACCTAAAGTAGTAAGTCTTAAAGAATATGATACAGTGGATTATGTTGAAGTTGAATTAGAAGTCTGGTTTATCTGTTCTTCGGTTGAACAACACAATCTTAACGAAGTTCCAAGTCTAACCTAGGTAAGCAAGCATGTCATAGATCTATATCTAACTTCGATAGCATACCTTTCATACCAGCCCCTTTCATAAACTGACCACTAGATAGATCGATTCCTGATGACCTGATCTGTGAAAGTCCCAGCTGCAAATGACCTCTTACGCGCCGTCATGCACCAGCGGTAGTCAGCATCGGCAAACGCACCAACATCACATGCCGACAAGTGAAGAACTTTTTAGGCAGTTTCCAATCTCGTTCTTTTTCTTTAGAGGTCGTCCACACCTTCCAGAAATCTTCATTCAAACTTTCAAGCGTACATGATATAAAATAGTTTCCCTGTTTTTGTCCATACAGTCCCACTGTCTACTATCCCTTATTACTATAAGTCCTCCCTTGGTAGCGCACACTGTTAGTTTTGCCCAATTAAACCCACCTATTAACCCAATTGTGATGTATTAAACTGGATATCCATACCTCAAGTTTCGTTTCTTGATGGCATATTGCGAATCAAAGATTTGAGAATCTCTCTTTTGCTCAACCTGTTCAACCCCTGAACTTAATATTTAAGCTTCATCCTGAGAATGCTTTTTGGTGCCTACCCCTCGTCTTTCTACCCCACTCCATAATTTATACCACATTTGAGTCTGTTCTAGTTAGGGGTGAGCATACATATTGAAAATACGGACAAAACCGAATTAATTCGGTTTCGGTGTTATTTTAAATAAAACATCGATATTCGATATTGTTCTTCGGTTTAACCGAAGTTTTCATTACATGAACCCAAAATACCAAAACCTGGCAGTAACTAAGCTTTGGTTCAAATCAAAAGCCAAAGCTGCAGTTGGCCCCTTCCCTTCCAAATTCGGAACACCCACATGAGGAGCCACGCGAGTAGTGCCAGATGGCACATCTGAGACAGTTTCATCTATTTTTACTTGTGATGTCTTGTGAAGTTCCTGCCATGTTCACTAAGCATGAACCATCTATCATAATCTTCACTAATATCAACAAATTCAAATGATTTCTCATCAGACAGTGTAATTTATTAGCCATCACTGGACAAATAATATTAGGTCAAAGAAAGCCATGAGAAAGTTCTAAGCTGGAAACCGAAAGAGGAAAAGTGGGATATGGAAGAAAGAAACTAGAGAGAAGTCAATCTTCTTTTTACCAAATAAAGGGACTCAAGTGGCCACTTTTTTGGTACTATACTAATATCAGTTACTGTTATGGGCATTCTTAGAATGACCACTACTTGATATCTCCCTCATGCCATCACTTGGTTGAGAAAATATTTCCTTGTAAATCGCTAAGGGGTTGTTTGGTAGAGTGTATAAAAATAATGCTAAATAGAATGTATTAGTAATGCTTGCATTAGCAATGCATGTATTAGTTATGCTTGCATTAACTATACATAGATTATTTTTATGCATTGTTTGGTTTGATGCATTAAAAATAGAATGCATTGCATTTAAAAAATTATTTACAAAGATACCCCTCACTATTATGGTGGAAAAGATATAAAAATAAAATGCTTTTCCTATTATCTTGTGTGTAATGTGGCAAGTCTGGCATAACTTTTTCTTGTTATTACGAAATGTCTGTATGTCATACACTAACTGGGTTATGCTTTTGAAAGCTGGTGTATGACTCATGTTGGATGACATTATCAATGTTATGAACTGTTGGAACACACTATCACCTTTATATTTACTTCTCTCAACTACATTTCTAGTCAAAATGATCTTTACTATCTTCTTTTTGCAGAGTCCATGTGAACATATCTTCTGTTTAGATTGTGCCAGGAGCGACTCTCTCTGCTACCTGTAAGCATATATCCTATTTCTCCACTTTTAAGAGTGATATTATCATTGCTTTAGGATATAAAATTATCAACTATGTATCAAATATTATTTTGGACATCCTCACATTTAAAGATGGCAAGTCAAAAGGATTGCAAACAATATAGTGATTTATAAGGGATATGCTGCTGGTAGCAGCATGGGGTACTATAAGGCGTGTCTTTTAGATCTTGGCTGTTCTACTTAAACCTGAATTTCACATTGATAATTTGTCAGGTCATGTTTCAGTATCATATCTCTGTTGTTAGGCCTGAATTTTCCTTTTTTTTTGTCGAGTAGACTAGGGGATTGACATCTTAGTTTTTTAGTCTAATCCTATATCAGCTTGGCTAGTTTTTGAATTACCATTTTATTAGAAATTCTCTTCCAAGTTAGAGAGATATTGCTCATTTGAAGAGTTTCATCAGCCCTTGTCGTGGCAGATGGTTGATTTTAACTCTGACTCGAAATTTGGAATCTCATCAAGAGCATTTATGATTGTCATGATAAGCATCATCTGGAAAATTCTCACACATTCTTATTCAACTATATTGCTACTTAATTGTTAATGAGTAAGCTAGGTTGGTTAGTTTGGCTTTACCTGTTCCATACTTGTTTCTCTGATCTAATGATATGGAATCCAAACTACATTTTTCTTATTCAGCTGTGATGAACGCATTCAGAAGATTCAAACGATTAAAATGCTGGAAGGGGTCTATGTCTGCGCAGCTCCGCATTGTCTCAAGTCCTTTCTGAAGAAGACTGAATTTGAATCTCATATTCATGAGAATCACAGTGATCTCCTTAGTGCAGAGAAAGATGAAAACATTTCAGAATCTGCTAGTGCTAGGAAATCTGCAGCATCTGAATCTACAGTGCAAGCACCATCTAGGCCCATGTTTTCTCCTGGTTCAGGTTCCCAGGCACATGATCGTGAAGACAAAGCTCATCATTCTCAATCTAGAGACCAACATCCTCCTAGGCCTTTTATGCAACAAAAGCCACCTTTCACTGGTTCAACCCAAAATCATCCACTAGAGCAACAGTCTGATAGTAATCCTCCTCCAGGCTTTGAAAGGCCTGGCATGCAGAATCGGCTAACTCAGCAAGGTTTTGATGTACAGCAGGGTTCATTCCGGCCAGACCCAAGTCACTTTCCAGACAAGCAGCAAGGGATTATGGGGAGTTCCCCTTTTTCTGAATTTCCAATGCATATGCAGCAACCTCATGGCTTTGCGGTGCCTATGAGTTCGAATCCAGGTTTGGCTCCTCAATCTGGTTATCCTCAGTTCGCAACTGATGGAGCTCAACCATTTTATGGTGCTGCTTCATTTGAGATGCCTAGGCCAGACTCAACTCCTGAAAGGGGATCAGAACAAGGGTCTTTGCTAGGTTTTCCAACTGGTGCTGCAGGAAATATGAATTTTCCAGAAAATTACCCTCGGCCATGGAATATGGGGCAGCCGGCTGGGTCGTTTGAGCCCACTGCAGTTCAACCTTCCCCAGATGGTTATGTTAATGCTACTGATCCTCAAGGAAGAGCAGTATTTCTCCAAGGAGACTATGGAAGGAATGCCAGTGTAATGCCCTCAAACCTGCGACCTCCGCCTTCGGCCAACAGAGGATTGGAAGGTGGACAGAGTAGTAACTCCATGGACACCAGAGATAGCAAGGGTATACTGATGCCACAACCTATGCCCTTCCCACCACCCCCACCTATACCTCATCACATGTCGCAACTCCAGATAGGAGGCAGACAGTATTCTGGTGATACAACCCACGATGGACAGGGCTATGGTTGGCAACATGAAAAACGTGATAATTACGGAAGCAGCCAAGACTAGTTATGTTCTTGTTATTCCTCTATCGTTTCTTTTGTAAGAACAGTGCCCGTTTTGTGTTGCCTCAGTGTATTTTACTTTCTAAATATACCAACATTGTTTTGTTAAAACTGAAACGTTGGGTTCCCCGACATTTACCCAGCTTCTTGTTCAAACGCAAAAGTCTCATTCTGCTTATTCAGGATTTGCTGCTTCTGAATTGAGGCCAGAATATGCAAACAAGAATTAACAATTTATTGCTGTAGTACAATTTTACATATCTAGCAGGCAAATCATGTTGCAAGCTTATAGCTTTGTCAAGACCTTACAATAGTTTGCTCTGCAGGAAAATGGATGTACATAATCAGCCAGATCTACTACTACGCTTCAATCCCAAGTTAGTTTTCGTATTGATTTAAGAGGAGAATTGAAACACGGGCAGAACTTCTTTTGTCCTGGTACCACTTCAATATATGGATGTACACTGTCAGCTATTTATGTTAGATGATTTGAATGCTGGTTGTGTTTCTCTTGTATCCCAGCAACTGATGTTATGCTTGTGTTAACTTAGCTCATATTCCTATTATTCATGTACTTCTGAATATGCATCGAGTCCTAACGTGACCGGTTCTAAATGCTACTTTGATGAACATGTTATAGATTCTGATAAATTGTTTGCTACTACTAATTTGCATCGTAAGCCACTGTAATAGAAAGGATTCAATCTTGTTTTGTTATTCTTATTGACCCTTCCTGCTAAAGTGCTCAACTTTTGGATACCTTATCGTAATAATATTTGTTTAAGTTTAGTTGTGACATTAACTTTAATGTGTTTATTTTGAGTAAAAGGAGGCTGTTTAAGTTCAAATTTAAAGGAGGCTGTTTAAGTTCAAATTTATGGGTTGTTCATGTCTTGGGTTTTCAATTCCATATTCATATAAGTAGTTGTTTGATCCCATCTTCTCCCTTAGCATTTATTTTTCAGCCAAATCACTTGTATGACTTATTAGTTAGCTAAAAACTCTAGTTTGTCATTTTAGAATTGTTAGGAATATAGTAGTTGGCGTTTCATTGTCTCAAGACACTTTTTTTTTCCTTTTAAGGAAATTGAATGCATTTTGGTGCCTAATTAATGTAGGTAAGTGATACATAAGTTTTGTTTGCCATATTGTTTTTAATTGTCCAGTTTTAGGGAATTTCAGTCATGTTATCTGTTTGTTTATGGATCTCTAGAAGGTAACTCTATGTTAGAATGGAGTTATATCCACAAGAAAAGTAATCAGCAAATGTCTGAACAAACATAATCATTGTTTAGCATGGTATAAATTTAGTTCTTTTGAAATTTTTATGCTGGTGTATGGATTCATTTATGTTGAATATGTTGGAAAACTATATGCACGGCGGAAGTATACCAGAATCATACTACTTACATGAATAATAGACAACACATAATTTATGTTAAAACACATAAACTTTTTGAAATTTAATTAAAGATTTACCTCTTGAAGCGTGATATGATACCTTCAAGCGAATCCACATGCTAGTCCACAAATTGGACGATAGTTTTGCGGTCTTCTACAGTGATCCCAAGTTCACTTCTGAACTCTCAATATTTGGGTGGGCAAGTGTAACACCTCAGAAATTAGACTTAGACTTTGCAGCAGAAAACAACAGAAAAAGGTGAACCACAGAGGGGTTCATGGGCTGTGATTAAGACCATGGTCCGTCACCCTAATCATGGTTCACACCCTCCCATCAGTGGTGGACCATAGAGCCCCTCAGGGGACGTGGATCATCTCACAAGCTATGGGAAAGCTCGTGGAGGATAGACAGACCTCACCAAGCCCAGGCATCAGACCACGGAGCCCTCTACGGGCCGTGGTGGCATTTGCCGTCCTGAGCCACCAGATTCCAGCTCAAGTGAGGAACCACGGAGACCTTCACGGTCAGTGGTCCTTCACACGGGTCGTGGTAGGGCTCATGGTTGGACCACCCATAAATTAGTAGCCACTACAAGCAGACCACGATCCAGTCAACGGGCCGTGGTCCTTGTGACGGACCATCACTGAGGCCGTGGTCGGCTTCGACAGATTTTAAGTTAGGGGTCGTTTGGTCTTTTCCCCTATGCGTTGGACACCTAAACTATGTCATTTAACCCCTAAACTATGTAGTTTTGATTAGTTTAAGCATAGTAACTTAATCAGAACCTACCCTAGTTGATCCATTTATTGAAATTCATCGATCTTAGAGCAAAATAGAGGGAAAGCCGAGCAGCCTCTCAAGAATACGCAACAAGTTTCCATCAGTTCCATCCCCGAAATCGAAAGATTTCAGCATGAATTTCACCACCAGGTATGTGGGATTTCACTAGTGGGTTCCTTTCATCCACTAGGTCCCTAGAATTCAGTCAGATTCTTGATTCCCTATGCATTGTTTAGAACTAGGGTTTCTAGAACTTTAGATAATTGCTGCTATTTAGCTGTTATAGTATTCTAAACCATATTATCATGTTTTCGTGACATTGTTGCTTAGTTCCTTGCATGAAACTTAGAACCCTAGTTGTGTAGATTCGTTTAGTTCATGAATTACACTAGCTAGGTCAGGTAAACAGATATTCATGCTCCAGATTTCGAATGTTTCATTATCAGTACTTAAATGCTGCATTCTCAGTTAGCATGTCAGAATATTGAGCTATCCAATATAATTCAGTGATGTTATATTATACAAACTAGTATACGTTTCCGCGCGTTGCGCGGATAATATAAAGAATTATTATTATTATCACTACTATTATTATATATATATATATATATATATATATATATGAAATGAAAGAACAAATCACATGATCATTTAATAACTTGTACAATATACTTTGCGTTTGTTTGTTACTATATTATTATTAACTACTTAATATCATAACATTATCGACTAAATTTTGATTAACTTATCACTTGCCTTAATATTCTTTTTCGTTAATTTTCTATTTATATAATACAAATAAATATATATATTTTCATTGTAAAATATTATTTAATTTTAATAATATTTTAAATATTATAAGTTTATTTTTATTTTATTGTTTTTTTTTACTTGAATTCAAAGTAAAAATATTTGCAAATTATTTGTATTCTTTTGAACATTTTTTGCACTAAGATATTTTATAAGTTTTATATTTTTGTATGTTAACGTATTGATATCTTACTTAATACTAAATTATGATTTTAAATTTGTACTAAAGTACGAATAGAGATGTTTTTAATATTATCTTATGATGAATAAGGAAATTATAAGAAAATTTAATCGTTAGATAAGAAAATAAAATGTAAAGATCTACGATTATGATAATGGTAAACATAAAACTAAGAAATTTTAATCACTTGACTATCAAATTATAGGCATGCTATTCAAATTTTTAAAGTTTGTTTTTCAATTTTTCATAAAATCATATATCAATTATATTATATTTCAAAAAAACATATAATTATATCAAAATTTTCGGAAATATATTTTTATAATTATTGTTATCATAGGGAGGGAATAATCAATTGCGGTGTCATTTCTTTTCTTTAAATTCATCATTACCATTATAATACTAATATTTTTTCTTAATGAGAGTGCTAAGTAGATAACGTTGTTGAATAAAAGTATTCAACTCAAATAATTATTTTTATGAGATTTGAAAATTTAAGCTTATATCATACATACCCTATTAGATATATCAATATATTTGAGTCTTAAAAAGTAATTGATATGCAAAAAAAAAAAAAAACTTACAATAACACTTTCATCAATTATCCAAAATTGCAAGTGGTATTTTCTCATGGATAATGCTAAAGAAGTTAAATTTTTTGATGAAGGCATTAGATTATTCCGATCATTGTATTACTTAACAACACTAATGACATTCCTTCAAATATAAATACTACCTTATACAATAAGAAAAGTATATAATATTTAAGTAATATAAAAATTGAATTATTCTTTGTTATGGTATTTTATTTTTAGAGAAAACGAAAAAGCAAGTGAAACTTAACTTATATACGAAAGTTATTTGTCTGCACAATAATCACGCCAAAGTTGATGGTGACTTTAACACCTACTTATCAAGATCATAAAACATTATAATACACCCATGCAAACGATTTATACAAAGACATATTCACACACATCATATATTTAATTAGTATCATTTGAATATCAAATTTGTCAAGTCAATCTTTAATACTCTTTCTATTGCCCAAAATAAATCAAAGTTACCCAACAATTACCATCGCTATAATATATAATGGAAATTAAGAATGTTTTGCTAAATTTTTTATTTCTTATATATTAAAAAAATACACATGTAGACTTGTAGTTGTTTAGTTTTCACCTTCATAAATTTTAATAAATTAACAAATGTGACATTTTTTCCATATCCAGTATTACTCTTTATTCTCTTTTTTATTTGTGCTAAGTTTGAAATTATGCACAAAAATTAAAGAAATAAATTAATAAAGTGAACAAACTATCTAAATTTCAAATAGATGAAATATAAATACATATCTCGTCATTAATTCAAGTAGATTTGGAGTTGCTCTTTTACTCCAAGAATCCCCCAAACACGAAAATCTAACCTTTTGTATTCAACGACATAAGCAGAAAAAGATATAGAGTTACCTATATATATATATATATATATATATATTCACTTTAAACTATGAATTAATTATGCGTTAGTATGACTTACCAAATAAATTAATGAAAATATAATCAATTACTAAAATTTTGAGTGATATATTCAAATATTTATTGCATTAAAAGATCATCAAAAAGTAGCAAAAAATTGCAAAAGAAATAGATTACCAAACTTTTAGGAGATAATTAGTTATTAATTTATATTACAATAAAAGATAGTCAAAATCTGCAAAAGAAATTTTAAGCACTGCTTTATATATAGCATTGATGCAAAATTGAAGAATTTTTTTCAGAAGTATTAGATTTGATTATGTTACTACTACAAATTATTATGAAATAACAATACAATCACTAAAGACATTATGAATTCTTTATTTGTCTATATTAGATAGAAAATACCTGTGATGCTTGGACAGAGATTGAACAAAATTAATAAATTATATAAAGTTATGTATGAACAATCAAGGCTCAAGCTATTTCCTCTCTATCAATATTGAGATTTGAAAACACACAGTAAGTAAAGAGAAAAGAAGAGACAGATAGATAACGTAGTGGATAGAATTAAGGATAAAA